ATCTCTAGAGGTCCCTTCCAAGCCCGACCACGCTGTGAAGCTGTGACGCACTTCCCTCGCTGTCGGAATAGGCTGAGAACACACCGACAGCTGAGGTGGCTCAGGTCGCCAACACGGACTGGCTGAGCCACTGTAACTCGAAGAGCTGCGTACGCCCCGCAGATGGCAGCGCAGTACGTCTGCCGTGTTCACAAAAATCACGCGTGGGCCATCTCCACTTACTGAAAGGGATAAAGTTGAATGTGCAATAATCATGTGATTCGGCTTTTCATCACAGTCACTGCACAAATGCAAGATGGATAGTTCAGAATCAAGTGGAGGGCGTTAGGTCAAGGTGTATCATGGGCTTATAGAAATTGTCTCTCTTCTTCTTCCCTCTGTCCCTCTCTTACCTTTACACCTTCACGCAGAGAGGAGCGGTTTGCATTTGGTCATCATTATTTCCGTCCACACGAAACGCATCATTCCCCTTCTCGAAAGTTCTATCACAATGAGCTCTTCCGGGTGCCGTTGTATGAAATTATCCCCTTGGAGGCCGTGGTGGGAACGTGCTGTGTTCTCGACCTGTACACCTACTGCAAAGGTAAGGAGACTTCACGGGATGAGAAATGAGATGTAGTACACCTCTCCGACAATTTGGGAAGTATGCTAAAATAGTTAGTGCTGTAAAAAGGCAGCAGCCAGTGTTTACAGGGAGCTGAGAACGCACTCCTGCCTTAGCACTGCGACAGCAACTTCTGTTGGAAGAGGGCCAGTGCTGAAGAGGCAGCAGTAGGGTAGGATTGGGGTGGGCAAGGAGGAGAAGGTGATGGCACCTGATAATAGTGTTTGCAAAAGTTTGGGTACTGTTTCACTGGATTATACACGTTTTCCTCCTAAACTGAACCAGCAGTGTGTCCACGACTGCGATTCTGAATGCAGAAGAGGTAAGAACGGGTGCCATCCCACTGAACAGCTCTGACAGCCCCCTGCTCCTCTGGCACGGCGTATGGCTTGTTCTCCTCCTGTGACACCACGTGTTGCCTCTTGAGTCTGGTGAACATACAATTCTGCCATCCTGTAGCACGTTTTCCTGTGTGCTTTGTTTTGAAACTGCAGGGAGGCCAAAAGGGGTGAAGGAGCAGGATGTATATATTTGTGATTACCGCCTCGATAAATCAGCTCACCTCTTTTACAAGATCCACCGGAATCGTTACCCCGTCTGCACCAAGCCCTATGCCTTTGACCACTTTCCCAAGAAACTCACGCCCAAGAGGGACTTCTCAGTAAGTGTTTCTTCTCTTGGCTTCCTTGCTTTGTACCAGAAGACCGGACGTATTTTTGAACTGCTCTCTGTCTATGAAGGAGGGTTGGTAAAGCGAAGGAAGCTGACACATGAGCGTGGTCCAGATGAAAAGTTGTCTAGAAAGTGAGCTTGGAAAGAAAACTTGACTGTGGACAGAGCGTGTGCAGAAAGGCAAACAGATGTTGGAGGAATGGCTGTGTAAGCTGGGTGTGTAAGTTTGGAAGTTGTGGTTTCTGACTGAAATCCAGATGCTGATCTCATTTAAGCCACTCCAGAGGGAAAGAAGTCTTAAAATTCACTTTTTTGGTTGCAATTCTGCAACTGTAAAATAATTTCATGTGTCTCAGGGGATCACAGTGTATAGTCCCATGTGAGTTTGTTAGGCCGTCTCTTCTTTGGTGTAATTACTCTGTGTTTTAGCAGACTTGCTTAAAAATGGTTTTCAGCACTTCACCTGTGAGCACGGATTCCCCGTACAGAAAAGCAATATTTTCCTATTTCCATTTCCCTGCTCGATCGAATGACATACTGCTTGCTTTATATACAGTTACCACTGAAAATGGGTGTTTTATCAAAAAACCCAGCAGACAGGAAGCAAAATCATGAAGTACAGTTTGCCTTAGCATCCTCCATCTGCACAGCTCTTGTTTCACTGTCTCATTTTCCCCTCTTCCACGGAAGTAGCAGCTCTTCTTGCACACGTCCTCGTACACAGCGCGACTTTGGGTGCAGACCTATCAGATCTGGCAAATCTTTTGCAAGTGGGCACTTTGCTTCCTGGAAGCAGAGAGATTTTTGTAGCGAGCTCAGAGGTGGTTCCAAACTTCTGCTGTGCAAAAAGCAAAGATGATTTTCATCACGATGGCCTATGGCCTGAAATCTATTTGGAAGACGTGAAGAATCAGAATGGCACTAAGTTGTCCTTACTACAGGATTATGCCTTCTGCTTTGAATTCACCCGACGTGTGAGAGGTGCCAGCCACGTGCTGGCGTTTCCGAAGTGTCAGATAGGCCAGTCCTGTACTGGTACTTCCAGAACGTTAGAAAGACCAGCACTTTCTTCCACTGTGAGTTTTATTTGGTATTAACCATAACCTTTATTGTTGTTACAGCCTCATTACGTACCCGACAACTACAAGAGAAATGGAGGCAGGTGAGTCCTACCTACCAGCTTGTTTGTTGAGAAGAGATAATCCTGCTTGTCAGGTGCCCACTCTTTTTCCTACCCGTTTCCCCTGGGTGCTGTGCAAACCATAAATGTAACTTGGTTAAAGAATCCTCTCAACTTTCAAAGCAGCGAAAGGGAACAAGTGAAGAGGGATAGAAGATAGGAGCAGCCTGAGTGTTCCTTAAAAATGTACGTAAGGAAGAGTACAAAACCCATTTTGAAAGTGCCTTTCAGAACCCATTTTGAAAGTTAGCACAGGCAGCAGAGAGGGGAGATGGCCGAGCCCGGGGCAAGAGCATCCGGCCTTCCCGCACAAAGGGAGGTTGGATCCTGAGGCAGACTGCATGCGTTTGCCCTGGAATAAGAGCCAAAAAAGGCCAGTGCAGTCTCAGTTCTGTGAGAGACTTTTTGAAAACACCCGTCCCCATCAAGAGCCATGGCTGTTGCAGGAGAACATCAGTGAGTGTTGAGCTCAGCTGTTTTGGAAGAGAAAAGCCTTTAGGTATCAGTTCAGAGAGGGATTTTGTTTTAGAAGGCTGCAGCTGAGGTTGTGCAGACAAGGTTATAGGAACGTAGCCTCCCGGGGGTGGGTTGGAACACCCGCATTAAGTCAGAGGACTGAGATTGCAGAAAGCCCCCCCACTGGTGACTGGCCTTTCAGGGGAGTGTCTGAAAAACTGGTGTTTCAACCCTTCTTTTCCTGCCAGATCTTCCTGGAAAACAGATCGCTCAAAACCGCAGGTTAAAGACTTAAACCACGAAGAAGATTCTCTTCCGCTTATTGAGGATGTGTTAGGAAGCCAAGATCCGACCTCGAGGGAGATGCCCAGCCTCGAGGAGCCGGACAAGGAGGCAGTCTCCAGTGAGAGCTGCGAAAGTGATAAAAAGGTGGAGGAAGGCAGTTCCGAGACAAGGCAGCTGTGCACTCCGGAGGAGAGGCGGCACAGTCAGAGGGAGAGACTTAATCAAATCCTGCTAAACCTCTTAGAGAAAATCCCAGGGAAAAATGGTGAGGTTCGGTGCGATGTCCTTTGGCAGGCTCGGCTCTCGCGTGCCGCAGACCCTGCCGGTAAAGCTCCCTGTGTCCGAATGCGTTCCTCGGGGACCTTTTCCCTACCCTTAGCTCCCTTTGCAGCCGTTTCCTCCATCTCCAAATGACATTTCTTACAGCTGACACTGTGTAATGTTTTTACTAACCCCAAGACAGATCCCCCCCAGCATTCCATGTTCACAACCAGGAAACTTCAGAGACAGGCAGAGAAGGACTGGGGAGAATTTGGGAAGTCTCTTTTCACCTTCAGTGAGGTTTCCAGGGATTCTGAGAAACCTCCCTAGGTACTGGCTAAGCGGTAGCGGCGCAGCGGCAGCACCGAGTAACCGTGTCCCTGATGGACAGCCTGGGATGGGCTCTGCCCCCCCTCTTTTGTGTTCTGAGAGTTAAGGCAAAGTAGTGATGGTCTAGCAGAATAATTTGGGTCATCTGGCCCAAAGGGGACTGGGAGCAGGGCTGACTTCCAGCTTAAATCAGATTGCTCAGCACCTCGTCCCCTGGAATTTTGAATACATCCTTGAAAGCTCTGTGATTAGGGAAGTAGGAAAACTATTAGGGAAGTAGGAAAACTCTGCCTCATATCACCTTCTTTACCAAAAGCCTGTGGTCTGTTGCAGCTATTGATGTCACTTACTTGCTGGAGGAAGGATCAGGAAGAAAACTGAGGCGGCGCACTCTCACCATCCCGGAGAGCAGCTTCAGGAAGTGACGCCACGAGAGGAACCTGTGGTCTGGAGTCTGCTACAAGGTCTGCTGAGGACTGAGGGCAGGAGCCCAACTTCCTCTGCACCAGCCAAGGAAAAGAGGGCAGCAGCAAACGGACAAATATACAAACAGTTAGCACTTAGATGTCTGGGTCGGCGGGTTGCCCTGCCCTGCTCTGCAGTGCTCTTATGGTGTGTGTGTTGTTGGGCGTGCCTTGTATTGATGTTAGGTACTGAGAAAAACCTCGTGGTTATTGTCCAGGATGGTCAAATTTAATTTATTTTTGCTTGATATTCCCACTCAGAGGCAAAAATCAAAACGATAAATGGGGAGGTAAGAAGGATGAGGAGTGACTGATGAGAATATTCCCCGTGTTCACCAATTAACCTGTGATCGTACGAGATACTGTTGGCACCGCCAAGGCCCACGCCAGCGAACGACATCCGGGCGGGAGGGCGAAGGCCCAGCAGCTTAAAATCAAAGGCTGCCCTGCAGCTGGGGCCTCTGATTTGCACAAGTTCCAGGAAGAGGGAGGCGCACCCGAACGCGCGCGAGGTGCGCCGTGGAACGGGCAGCGCACGCGTACCTTTGGTCTGTGAGGAGGAGCAGCTTCCGGAGTCACCTCGGAACGAAGCGGGAGTTGGCTGGTTGAGGCACTTGTTCTGCGTTGGGGCGGGGGGGAGGGAGCAGGGTGTGATTTCTTTTTTTTTTTTTCACTTTTTTTCTGCAGAGAAATTTTATAAAAGCAAGTCAAATCCTGACAACACCGTTGCTGTTGGTTTTTTTGATAAGCTGTGGTTCTTGTGTGTCTAGTGTGTTGTGCAACTTAAAATCTGTTAAAAAGGAAAAAAAAAAAAAAGAAAAAAAAAGGAAACCTTCACTACATGAACCGTCAAGCAGTATTCCGAGCGAGTATTTGTTGTGAACTGTAGATTATATCAACTGCTAACACTACTCTTGTGTTCTGGTTGTACAGCTTAAAACGTCCGTCTCTTAAATTAAGAGGCAGCGTATCCT